ACCTTCTTGGGGGTAAAGGGGACCCTCCTTGGAGGGGGCAGTGTCCCATCTCACACCTCCTTCCTCTCCTATCCTCCCTGCTCTGCCCCCTCCATGGAGGGTCCCTGTCCCTCCTGCCCTAAGCCCTTCATGGAGGGACCGCTAACCCCAGTCCTTCCCTCTCCATGGAGGGTCTCCAGTGCCCCCTGTCCTGCCCCCTTTATGTAAGGTCCCCTGTCCTCCCTGCCCTGAACCCTGCATGAAAGATCCCCTGTCTGCTCTGGCAGACCCCGTCCGTGGAGGGTCCACTGTTCCACCTGCTTTTCCCACTCCATAGAGGGGGCAGGACAGGGGGCACCGGAGACCCTCTGCCCTGCCCATCCCTGAGATTCCCATGTCCCCACTCTCCTGTCCATCCATGGAGGGTTCCATGACCCAATGCCAAGCCCTGTTTCTTCCATGGAGGTGGTCCTGTCCCTGCTGCTCTGCTTCATCGATGGAGGGTCCCCTGTTTTTCTGTCCTGCCACATCCAGGAAGGATCCACAATCCCCCCTCCATGGAAGGTCCCCTTCCCCCTGCCCTGTAACCTCCATTGGACAGTCCCCTACCCCCTGACTATACCCTCCATGTAGAGTCTCTTACCCCCCCCTACCTTATACCCCCCATGGAGGGTCTTCTGTCCCCCATACCCTGCACCCTCAATGGAGGGTCTTCTATTTCCCTGCCCTGTCCCTCACTCACCGGCCTCTGAGAGGTGTGTGCTCAGGTCACCAGTGTTCATCTCTCCTGCCTCCAGGCCATGTTCCCACTCTCTGTACCTGAAGTACATCTCACCCTCTTCATCTGTATGGATTCTACCCCCTCAAATATAATTTTAAATGCCAAAAATAACAGTGAACTTTAAAATATATAAACCTGATCATGTCATTCCCCACACAAGGGCCCTTTACTCACCCGTCCTCTCCTGCACCCAGCCAACCTGGTTCTCCCTGCCCGGGGGCACTTGCTGCCCCTTTGGTGGTGGCTTCCCCTTTCTCCATGTGGCCAGCTCTGTCTCAACAGCCGAGTCTGAGTTTAAATATGACAAGATCTTGGGGAGCTCTTCCTGAGCCTGCAGGGGAGTCACCCTGCAGTGGCCCCAGCCCAGCCTGGTGGGGTGTCATGTGGCAACAGGTCACAGAACTAAGACAGGTCACAATGGTAAGGCAGGTTACAGAGGTAACCTGGCAACTGTCCTGGGTTAGGCAGGTGGTGAAGTTAACCAGGTGTTCTTTGTTTTTAAATCAGTGATTGGACATTTATTGAGCACCAAATCCCAGACCCTGTACTGAAAGTGCAGAAGTTGTGGCCCCACTCTGAGGTCCTGGCTCTCAGTGACCAGGTGTTCTTGAAAGTGGGAAGTGGGCAGGAGGGTGGATCAGGGATGCCATGGCAGGGACTTAACACACATTGCTGGCTTTGAGGCTAGAGAAAGGGATCACAGACCAAGGTTTTCTGGAGGCCCCTGACAGCTGGCAGTGCTTAGGCAGAGACATGGAACAGAATGGTCCCATGGGAGCAGATTCTGTCAGCACCCATGAGCAGGGGTCGGGCTGGGTCTCCCAGGGCCTACAGGGAGGAGCACAGCTCAAAGCATCTGCCTCGGGTTTCTACCCACAGCACCTGCCATCACTCTTCCATTTGAGGTCATTTGTTAGGGCAGCAACAGAAAACCAAGGCAGTCCCTGTTGCTTCCTAGTCACAGCACCTAAGCGTTTTCTTCATGGCTCTGAGTATTTTCTCAAATAAAGTGTAGTTCTTGTTCACCTGTCTCCCAGCTCCTCACAGCACCTGAGAGGTAAACTGTGAAGGCCTGCCTCCAAGACCCAGGTGCAGGGAGGGCCACAGGAGGAGCACATGTGTTCAGTGAGTTTGGGACTGAAGGGCTCTTTTCTGATTTCATAGAATGTGATCTATATACTAGAGGCCTGGTGCACAAAATTCATGCACAGGAAGGGGGTGTCCCTCAGCCCAGCCTGCACCCTCTCCAATCTGGGACCCTTTGACAGATGTCTTACTTCCTGTTTAAATGAGCAGTCGGATATCCCTCTCACAATTCAGAACTGCTGGCTCCCAACTACTTATCTGCCTGCCTTTCTGATTGCCCCTAACCACTTCTGCCTGCCAGCCTGATCACTCTTAACCACTCCCCTGCCAGCCTGATTGATGTCTAATTGCTCCCCTGCCAGGCTGTTTGCCTCCAACTTCCCTCCTCTGCCGGCCTGGTCACTTTTAACTGCCCCCTCCTTCAAGCTTGATCACTTCCAACTGCCCTCCCTTGTAGGCCTGGTCCCTCCCATCTGCCCTTCCCTGCTGGCCATCTTATAGTGGCCATCTTGTGTCCATATGGGGGCAGCCATCTTGTGTGTTGGAGTGATGGTCAATCTGTATATTACACTTTTACTAGATAGGATAGAGGCCTGGTGCATGAGTGGGGGCTGGCTGGTTTGCCCTGAAGGGTGTCCTGGATCAAGGTGGAGGTTCCTTTGGGGCATAGGGCAGCCTGGGCGAGGGGCCTGTGGTGATTTGCAGGCTGGCCATGCCTCCGGCATGACCCAAGTGGAGGCCCTGGTATCTGGGATTTATTTTCTTCTACAATTGAAACTTTGTATCCTGGAGCGGAGCCAAGCCTTCTGCCTGCTCTGTGGCTGCTTCCATTTCTGTTGAGATTTATGTATCTTCTACAATTGAAACTTTGTAGTCTTAAGCAGAGGCCTGGGCTGGCCCGGTGTGTAGAAAGCTTGGCTTCCTCCATTGCCGGGAAAACCCAAGCCTTCCTCCTGCTCTCTCTGTCGCCACAGCCATCTTGGTTTGGTTATTTTGCATACTTGCTCCTAATTGGCTGGTGGGTGTTGAAATATGGTAGCAATCATACTTGGGTAAAAACTGCTGTTTGAATTTTAACCCTACTATTCTGACTTTGACCTTCACTTACTTGCTTAAACAATAGGGTAGTTACAGGATATTGATTCCCACTGACTCAGTAGCTTCAGGGGTAGAAACTATAGATAACCTTTGGAGATTAACCACTGAATTCTGCTTCTGCAAGATAGGGCCACATTCCAATGTCTAGCAGGATGTGACAGGGAACGACCCTGTGGGCTGACCCCAGTTTTTAGAATATAGTCTTTAGGATTTAGAATTTAGAACAAAGGAAAATTCCTGTGGTTTGAACTGTTGCAGAGTTCCCAAGGGGTTGGATGGTGCAGGGGGAGAGTTTGGAGAGACTTGCTTTGTTCATCGCTCGATGGGCCTAGGGAGGATGAATTCAAATTCTAAGCAAGGTTACAGGCAGAACTTTTATTTTATTTTTTTATTTTTTTTATTAAAGAGCCAGCCCTATGTGCACCTAGTGGTTATCTTGATGCTGGCCTTAAAAACAATACAGTTCTATCCAATTGAAAAAGTGCACCTGGCATGGTATTGAGATTGTGGGCATGTCTGGTCTCTGGCCTACAAGTCAGACAGCAACATTTTGTCTAGGAAGAACAGCAGAAAATTTTAAACAAAATTTGTTGTAAAATAGGGGTTTTCCTTCTCAGAACCTTTAAAAAGAACTACCTGCACCAAAGCAGTGCAGTCGTGTGGAGTCCGCCTGCGTGTGGTGCTCTTGCGGCTGTCCTGGCCAGATATTTCAGGCGTGGCTTGTGGGTGTAGCAGGGTTATGGCTAATTTGCATATTATTATTTTATTAGATAGGCTATACAGAGGTAATATGCAAATTAGGCCAGGACACTATAACAGTCATGACCAGTCAGAAAGAGGCTGTGTGCACAGGTGAGGCCCAGAGTGGAGACAGAGACATAGGGCCTGAACTGCAGCGGCTTGGGTCATCCTGGAGCCAATACTGACAGGAGGGCTGCCTTGGAGCTGACATCGACAGGGGGGCCACCCCAGAGCCAACACTGACTGGGGGCCTAGGGCAGAGACTGACAGGAGGGCCTGGGGCTGTTCCAGCTGCAATGCACCAGCAATCTCACCTCTGCGCGTGAGCTACAGAGAAAACAGATGTTTTCTGTCCTCTAATTGGCTAAGCTCCTAGTAAGCCACTTGCAGTGTTCTTGGTAACTTGGGTAATAAGAATCAAAGACAGTGATCTAGGGTTTTTTACCACATTCCTGGAGGAAAAAATGAAGGTCCACTGCTGAAGAGGCTAAGAAATGTCATCCTGCCCTAGCCAGTTTGGCTCAGGAAGGCAGGCAGGTGAGCAATTGGGAGCCAGTAGTCCTGGATTGTGAGAGGGATCCCAGATTGGAGAGGGTGCAGGCTGGGCTGAGGGACACACCCCTCCCCTGTGCATGAATTTTGTGGACCAGGCCTCTACTGTTAAATATAAGTGACAAGAGCAGACATCTTTGCCTTGTTCCCAGTCATAGGAAGAAATTCAATATTTCACCATTAAGAATAATGTTAGTGTTAGGATTTTTGTAGATGTCCCTTATCAGGTTGAGGAGATTTCCTTCCAGTTCTAGTTTGCTGAGAATGATTTTGTTTATTTGTTTTAACCAGGAAGGAGTATTAAATTTTATCACATTCCTTTTCTACATCTATGGAGGAACATGTGACTTTCTCTTCTTTAGTCTGTCAAAAAAGGTGAATTATGTTGAGTTTCAATGCTATACCAACCTTATATTCCTGAAATAAGTCTTAAAGTGCATGTGTGTGTGTGTGTGTGTGTGTGTGTGTGTGTGTGTTTAATGTATTGTTGGATTCATTTATTTGCCAAAATTTGCCATACTTTTGTTACAGTATCTATGTTCATGAGATATGTTGGTCTGTAATTTTTATGTAATTTATTTGTCCAGTTTTGGTATCAGGATAATGATGGCCAGGAAATTTCCCTTTCTCTTCCATTATCTGGGGTTGTGAATAATTGATATTATTCCTCCTTAAATGTTTGGTAGAATTTAGCAGTGAAGTCATCAGGAACTGGAGTTTTCTTTGTGGGAAGGTTTTTAACTATCAATTCAATATATTTCATAGATATATGATTATTTCACATTATCTGTTTCTTCTTTAGGTAATTTGTGTATTGCAAGGATTTATCCATTTCATCTAAGTTATTGAATCTATTGGCATAATACTGTTTATAATATTCCCTTTCTTAGAATTTTAAAGTCTGTAGAATCTATAGCAACATCTCCATATTCATTCTTAATATTAGTTATTTGTGATTTAATTCCTCTCAAGTGTATTGAGAGTTGTTTTATGGCTCAGAGCATGGTCTATCTTGATGACTATCACAAGTGCATTGGGAAGGCATGTATACTGCTGGTTGCTGGGTTGAATGTTCTATAAATGTCAGGTCAAGTTGGTGGGTAGTATTGTTCAAGTCTTTTATCTTTTTATGGATTTGCTGTTTACTTGTGCTATAAATTAGTGAGAGCGAAGTGTCAAAATGCCCACCTAAAAACTCTGAATTTGCATATTTCTCTCTTCAGTCATGAAGCAGTCTTTGCTTATGTATTTAAACCTGTCTCATTATAATTGTTGTGTCCTGTTGATGAATTGAACTCTTTGACATTTTGAAATATTCCTCTTTATTCCTTTATTGATTGTTCTGAAGTTTACTTTATCTGATAGTAAAATAGCTTTCTTTCTTTCTTTTTTTAGATTCTTGAGAGAGAGGAAGGGAAAAGGAGAGAGAAACATCAATGTCTCCTTCATGCCTCCTACCAAAGATCAAGCCTGCAACCATGTGCCCTGGTTGGGAATTGAACCTGCAACTTTTGGTGCAGGGATAATGCCCAAGCCACTGAGCCACACCAGCAATGGCAAAATAAGCTTTCTTTCTATTAGTGTTATCATAATACATTTTTGTCATCTTTTTCTTTTTAACCTATTTGTATCCTCATATTTAAAGTGCATTTCTTGCCGAAACTGGTTTGGCTCAATGGATAGAGCGCCGGCTTGGGGACTGAAGGGACCCGGGTTCAATTCCGGTCAAGGGCATGTACCTTGGTTGCGGGCATATCCCCAGTGGGGGGGAGGGGGGTGCAAGAGGCAGCTGATCGATGACTCTCTCTCATCGATGTTTCTAACTCTCTATCTCTCTCCCTTCCTCTCTGTACAAAATCAATAAAATATATTAAAAATAAATAAATAAAGTGCATTTCTTATAGACAACATATAGTTAGTCTTGCTTTTTCATCCAATTTAACAATTTCTGCCTTTTGATTTAAATGTTTAAACATTTACATTAATGTTTAATATGGTCAATATGGTGGGCTAAATCTATCTTCTTAATATTTGTTTTCTATTTGTCTTATTTGTTCTTTTGTTCCCTTTTTCCTTCTTTCCTACTTTTTTTAGACTTTTTAATTATTCCATATCTTCTCTACTGTGGCTTATTAACTAAATCGTTTTTTACTTATTTAGTAGCTTCTCTAGGGTTTATAATATACACTTTTTAAAAAATATTTTTTATTAATTTCAGAAAGGAAGAGATAGATAGATACATCAATGATAAGAGAGACTCATTGATGGGCTGCCTTCTGCACACCCCCACCGGGGATTGAGCCCGTAACCCAGGCATGTGCCCTTGACCGGAATTGTACCCGGGACCCTTTAGTCCACAGGCCGATGCTCTCTCCACTGAGCCAAATCGGCTAGGGCTGTAATATACACTCTTCATTATCATAGTCTATCTTCAAATAATACACCACACTATGTAGAGTGTGAGAACCTTACAACAATATACTTCTAACTCCTCATTTACACTTTGTACTACTGTTGTCTACATACAGCTTTGGCTGATTCAAGTGTATGTAACTATGTCCATGATCAATAGTCCCACAACACAGCAACAGGGCCCACCAAATAGGGCAAAGAAAGAAATGGAATATAATGTCCCATGTTAGTAATATTATTTAGGGAGAGACTGACTGCAGAGTCACAAATTAATCAGAACAGCCACCAACCAGCCTTATCCCTGGATCAGGTGCTCAAGGGCCTTTGTTGCACCAAGCATTGGCCTTTTATTTGCTGGGTCATGGTAGTGTCTAGGAGAGGGCCAGGCACTTCCAGGGCTAAGACAGGGAGAGGGAAGGTAAGGTTCAGGACAGTAGTTGTTTACTAAGCAATTTAGAAGTAATTCGGTATTTTAACACTGGTTGGCCATTCAGATGCACACCAGTTGTGTTTATGTCCTAGAGGTAGTGAAGTACCCCCGACACATACTTCTTTATGGAGTCTCCAACAATTTATGGCATGTTTGCTAATACAGTGTGAGAGAATTCTCTGGGGCACAAGAAGAGGTTGATCCATCAGCAGAGTCAAACATAGGAGGCAGAGCAGAAAGAAAAGAGCTTACAAGTGTCTTATAAATCAATAATGGCCGGTATTTTAGTACTTGTCATCTATCTCTACACCTCTTAGCAACCTTTTGAATGCACTATTTTCTCAATCTATAGATGAGGATTAGGAGGTAAGATCAAGAATTTGCCTAGGGTCATATGGCGAAGAACCTATATTATATCTATGACTCACTCCATTGCTCCTTTTGATCAAGGTTTTTTTCCTTCCAATATGTGAAGAATTTAGTCACTTAAAAGGGTTTAATTTGCACTAGTGTTAGTGATACCGAAGAAAGCCCAGGCTCATGCCTCATGTCTCTATTCCTGACACCTCCATTAATTACCTTTCTCAGTCTACAGTGGGAATCATGGCTTGAAGCTGGAGGAACAAGATGGGTTACTAAAGCCCCATGCGTGTGGGAAATCCACTTCCTAAATACTTAGCACTCAAGCAACCCAACTCCACATCCCTTCATTGGTGCCACAGAAGTGATCCTAAGGCAGGACGCCCAGAGCCTGCAGCCTTTCCTAATTCAATATCATCCATGTGATATGGGTAGCAGCGCTTTAAACTGAAAGTGGCTCCTGCCTTGTATTACTACATCAAAGGATCAAAAATAAAGTGAGTTTACATTTTCTATTTAGGGTAGCATCCTTTCTCTTATGTGGCCTTACTTGTTTTTTGAGTGGGAAAGTGACTCAGCTTGCTCAATGATGAATCCATTTACAGCTTTTTAAGTCTGACAAATTATATATATATATATATATATATATATATATATATATATATATATTTTTTTTTTTTTTTTTTTTTTTTTTTTTTTTCTTTCTGGAAAAGAGCACTAAAAACTACTGGGTCCCAGTCAAAATACACAAAAGCTGTGAGGACTTTCCGTAACACCAAACTCCCAAATCTGTGACCAGAGTAGGAAGTATCATCACTAATGTAATAAAACTACTGCGGTTTAAAAGAGCCTTTGCTTAATAATAAACACACCTGCTGGCTTAGTGTAGCAACTCAAAAGCAAAATACACAAAAAAAAGCTGGCCTCATAAACATATTCAACTGTGGATGGACTTTATTTTCTACTCTCAGAATTTAACAAGACTGGACCTTTATAAAGTCACTAAACATTTAAAAAAAAAAAAAAAAGCACCCTCAGTATGCAGTTTTATAGTATTAAATAAGTATTTCTGTAATATAGAGTACATAGGTGACTATATTTTTTAGATTTAAAAAAGAAAGTATTTTCTCAGTACCAATTTAAAATATTCTACCTCCAATTTACCATTTGATAACTAATTTTCACTAAAAAGTTTGAGATTATCCAGTCTTACTCAAAAATGGCAGAGATCATTGACAGAGTTCAGTTTCTTACTTCATTTTATCAGTGCCCTGGGCTCTGTGCAGCAGCTGCCTTAACAACATATACATTTAAGTGACTGGGCCAGTCTAAGTATCTGAGAAGATCCCTTCAATGCTTTTGCTCACAAATGCCTCCTCTCTTGAACTTCAATAAGCAATGTTTTCTGATGGCGGATTGAAGACACACACATATTTTTCTCCTTGGAATGAGCAAATGGGGTAAAGTGGACAGGAAGATAAAGATTTCAGTTTTTCCTCAGCTGATTCCAACTTCCTTATGCTGATTGAGACTCCTCCAGAAAGTAGGCATTTAATTGTCCAGCAAGTCTTAATTTTAGGAGGTGCTGTGAGCTCTTTTCACTTCTTCATGTGAAATCCTGCTTTGCCAAATTAATCAATGCAGTGAATTTTGGTGAATAACCAAATGGCCTCAAGATATAATCCAAATTTATTTATGATTCAGTTTGAGTTTAACAAAATGGCAGGTTGTAAAGTGTTTCAATTTTTCTTTTTTAATTTTATAAAGGAGTTGAAAGAACTCTGGTGGATATGAAGACTGCTTTGAAATGATAGTTACTACCATGATGTCAGAATCCACTAAAAGGGTTCACAGTTAATAAAATGGTTTATACAGTGATCAAGAGCAAGGATTCTAGTTCCAATCTTTGTTTTATTACTTGTGTGTTAGGGAAATAACTAAGCATCTCTATGCCTATATTTCTTCATCCATAAACATTTATCACCCCTATCATTCAAGAATTATACTAAGCCCTTTGGGATTCAAAGATCATCATATATTTTATTTTTTATTATTTTTTATTTTTTAAAATATATTTTATTGATTTTTTACAGAGAGGAAGAGAGAGGAATAGAGAGTTAGAAACATCAATGAGAGAGAATCATTGATCAGCTGCCTTTTGCACCCCCACACTGGGGATGTGCCCGCAACCAAGGTACATGCCCCTGACCGAAACCAAACCCGGGATCTTTCAGTCCCCACACCGACGCTCTACCACTGAGCCAAACAGGTTTTGGCATATATTTTATTTTTTTTAAAGTTTAAAACCTAGTTAGAGACAGTAGTACATAAGAAACAGTACATAATGACAATACACTGGAGGCCAAGTGCACAGGTAGGATCCCTAGGCCTGGCTGGTGATCAGGGTCGATCGGAGCCTTCTAGGCGTCAGTCAGGTTCTTCCTTCATTCCGCGCCACCCTCTGGTGGTCAGCGCACGTCATAGTGAGCGATCAAACTCCCAGTCTCCTGGTCAAACTCCCGAGGGGACACTTTGCATATTAGTCTTGTATATATATATATAGATGAGGTGGGGAGAAGAGGGAGGGTGGATTGAAAGTGTGAACCCTGGAGAAGATTGCCTAAATTGAAATTCTAGCTCCACCACTTTGCTGAGAAGTAGAGCAAGTTACTTAACTCATGAGCATTAGGTTCATTTCTAAAATAGTGATAATATTTACACATGAGTGTTTTATGAAAACTAAGAAAATTTAATAGAAAGAGCTCCTCAAAACCACCAATGAGGTACCACTTTACACCCACGAAGATGGCTATTATAAAAAAACAAAATATCACCAGAAATAACAAATGTTGAAAAGGATGTAGAGAAACTAGATCCCTGGCATACTGCTGATGAGAATGTGAAAATATACAAACACTGTGGAAAACATTAAGGTGGTTTCCCAAAAAAATTAAAGTTATATTATGACCCAGCAGTTATAGTTCTAGGTATGTACTCAAAAGTATTGAAAACAGAGATTCAAACAAGTATTTTACACCCACGTTCACAGTAGTGTGGAAGGAACAAAAAGTGGAAGCAGCACATTTTCGTGCACAGATGAATACACAAAATATGACACATACATACAATGAAATATTTAATTTTAAAAAGAAATTTTGACACACACTACATGGATGCACCTTGAAAACACTTTGCCAAGGGAAATAAGCCAGGCACAAATGCATAGACAGAAAGCAGAATGGTGGTTCCCAGTGGCTTGTGGGGCAGAGAATGGAGAGTTATTGTCTAATGGGCACAGAGTTTCAGTTGGGGAAGATGAAAGCATTCTGGAGATGGATGGTGGTGATGGTTGTACAACAATGGAAGGTATGTAATGCCACTGAACTATACCCTCTAAAAATGGTAACTTTAAAGTGTATTTTATTTTTTTGTGTGGAACCAGCTCAGCCAGGTTCAGTGAGCCTGAGAAGGGGTGGTGAAGGATTGGGAAAAGACAGACAAGAGAAAAAAGTTGGGTCTCAGTGGGATGCTATCCTCTCCGATGGAGAGCTAGCAACAGTGTCACAGCCTGTGAGCCTCTTTATTTTATAGCCAGATTCTATGAGGCAAAGCACATGGTTACCATGTTCTCCTGGGTTTTGAATCTACTCAATAGTAAATGATCAATAAACATTAACTATCCTTAGTGCTTTTGAAAGCGTTCAAGAGAGAAAATTTAGATCAGAAATGTAGGTGAAAAGATGTTATCTGAGCTGGGACTTAGAGGATAAATAAGATGGATAGCAATTATAATAATTATTAACATCAGCCCTTTATGAATAAAAAGTCTGATGTTAGGTGAAAGGGTTCTTCAAATGCTCATCAAAATTTTAAATTAATTAACAACTATTACATGCAGGGCATTAGGGTTATATTGATGAAGAAGTCCGAAACACAAATAGGTAAGCACGGAAAAGTAATATGTTCAAGGATCAAATACCTCTTACTTAATTCCACATTTTATAGGATAGCTTGCAGGAGTTACTTAAAATTTTGAACTTCAAAGTGTTACAGAAGACCGGAGAAGAACCAAGCAATGCTTGGAGAGATGGAGTACACTTTATTATTATGTGCAGGCCGAGAGAAACTGTATTTCAAATTCTGGCCCCAACATGGAGGAACTTTCCTTATTCAGTATATGTTTTTACCTTCTTTGTCTCCCAAATATGGGATGTTTCCGGTCCCCTCTGCAAGTTCTTAAACAGCCCTATGTCCTGGGGCTTTGAGACCTCAACCAAAGGCTTGCCCTGGTGCCAGAACTGATAACTTAGTCTGGGGGAAGGTTATGATCTCTCTAGAGTAGCCTTATTTCCTTCTTATTCAAGGAAGCAAGCATTTACAGGAGCCAAATTAGTAGGGTTAAAATATCAAACAGCAGTTTTTATATAAGATGGATGCTTCAAAAGAATTCTGGTTGCATCTTAGATCATCTATTCAATTTTCCAAAACCCCACCATCCCACTCCTTTTCCACTTACTTTTCTAATAAAAACCTATGTGTGCCTTCTAATAATTCAATGAAAATTACACTTAAAATGGATGCATTTTATTTTATGTAAACAGTACCTCAATAAATTTCATTTACAAACTAAATAAAATGACAGTATATTTTAAGAGTTCATTTAGAAAGAAGAAAATGACAATTTTTAATTAAGTAAAATATGAATAACTTATTTTTTCATTTTTAAAAAATGTGTTTTTATTGATTTCAGAGAAAGGGAGAAGAGATAAAAACATTGATCAGCTGCCTCTTGTACACCCCCTATTGGCACAGGTGCCCTGACCAGCAATTAAACCATGACCTCCTGGTCCATGGGATAAAGCTCAACCATGAGTCACACTGGCCAGGCTGAATACCTATCTTATTTTTAAGAAACTAATGTATTACAGGTAAAGTTAAAGTTTCCTTTGACCACCCTCCCAATATTCACTGACACCCCTTACCTGTCACCCCAAAGAATCACTGCTGTGAGTTTGATATGGGTTCTTCTGAACCTTTAAAAATATATTTACATACATATGTAGCCATTGAAAATGTATAATACTGTATATATCTTTCTGTAACTTGCTGTTGTCACTTAACATTATGTTTCTGAAATGTATCCATATTCATATAAAGTTTATTTTTAAAATCTTATATAAATAATCTGTTATATGACAATAGTGCATTTTATTTAGCCAGGCCTTTCCCCTCCTGACAGATATTTAGGTTGCTTTTCTCTATTACAACTCA